TCTGCCGTGGAAGATTGTAGGTCTTCTCGGAAAACAGTTCTCAGTCCCAGTAGACCTAAAGGTAGGGCAAGAGTCCAATTTACTGATGTGTGACACATAATTGATGCTTTAAGAACACGGTGCCATTTTTCAATCAGGCCATTAGCCTGTGGATGATATGATGTAGTCCGAGACAGGTGTATGCCAAATGTATTTGCAAAGCATTTAAAAAGTTTACTAGTGAATTGGGTTCCTCTATCGGTTGTCGCTCTTTGAGGTACTCCAAAACGTGCAATCCATCCACTGTAAAATCCCTGAGCAACAGTTTCAGCTTTTATATCTGTTAATGGTATTGCTTCAGACCAACGAGTAAATCTGTCTATGCAAGTTAAACAATATGTAAATCCTTGCGAAGACGGCAGAGGACCTACCAAATCAATGTTAACATGATTGAATCGTTTGTTGGGAACCGTAAATCTAGAGAGAGGAGAATGCACATGTCTTGTGATCTTGGAACGTTGGCATGATACACAACTCTTTGTCAAGAGGGAGACATCTTCTTTAATATTTGGCCAAATGAATCTCTCACTTATAAGTTTGACGGTTGCTTTTATTCCGGGGTGATCCAGATCGTGCAAGCAATGGAAAACTGCAGTGCGATGTGATTTTGGGATATATGGCCGGATCATCCCAGTAGAGGTATCACAATATAGGAAAGTGTTCGGATCAGAAATGCTAATCTTTTTCAACTGCAAACCAGTTTCACTGTTAAGTAAGGCTTCTAATTCTGGATTATTTATTTGTTCTTGAGCAATATCAGCATAATTTAAGTCTCTTGGAACTGCAATCTGTTGAATTCTGGAAAAAGCATCAGCAACTGCGTTGTTTAAGCCGCTGATGAGCCGGATGTCATTGGTGAATTCACTGATGAAATTTAATTGATGAATTTGCTGTGGTGAAAGCTTGTCATATTTTTGGGATAATGCATGCGTTAAAGGTTTATGATCAGTGAACACTATAAAATTAGTTCCTTCCAACATGTAACGAAAGTATTTTATGGATGTAAAAATTGCAAGGAGTTCACGATCATAGGCACTATACTTTTTCTCCGCAGCACCCAATTTACGAGAAAAGAAACCTAAGGGCTGTCACTCTGCATTTTGATGTCTTTTCTGATGAACACAAGCACCAACAGCAGTATCTGAAGCATCTGTCATCAAAGCCAGCAATGCAGATGAATTCGGATGAGCCAAATAAGAGATTTCTTTTAATTCTGCTCTACAAGATTGGAATGAGTTTTCAGCTTCAGTTGTCCAAGAGAGAGGAGTTTATTCATTTTTCTTACAGCGTCCAAGCATTTGATGTAATGGTAATTGCTTTTGAGCAGCATACGGCTAGAATTTACGATAGAAATTTAGAATTCCTAAAAATCGTCTGAGTTCGCTTACTGTTGTTGGCTTAGGATAAGTGGAAATCGCTTCAACTTTGTCTGGTAATGGCATAATATCATGTTCATCAACCAGATGACCTAAGAATTTGACTTTTTCTGCAGCAAAAGTGCATTTTGAAAAGTTAACGATGAGGCCATATTGTCTCAAGCGTTTGAAAACTTCCTTAACGTGAAGGAGATGTTCTTGGATTGTAGACGAGGCAATCAAAATATCGTCAATGTAGACATAACAGAAGTTTAACCCTTGCAGAACCTGGTTAACAAAACGCTGCATCGTTTGTGCAGCATTTCTCAACCCAAAAGTCATGAAATTAAATTCAAAAAGTCCAAATGGGGTAATGATGGTAGTTTTTGTAATGTCTTCCTTGCGCATGGGCACTTGATGGTAAGCTCGGCGAAGATCAAGCGTTGTGAAGACAGTTTTTCCATGTAAATTGGTAGAAAAATCGTGTAAATGCCGAATGGGATACTTGTCAGAAAGTGTATTGGCATTTAGCGCACGGTAGTCTCCACATGGTCGCCACGACCCATCCGATTTTTTAACCATGTGCAATGGGCTTGACCAGCAACTTTTGGATGGGCTACATATTCCTTGGTGTACTAGGTAATTAAATTCTGCTTTTGCCGCTTCCAATTTATCAGCAGATAGTCTTCTCGCTTTTGCAACCACTGGTCGACCCTTTGTTTCGATGACATGACTGACATTATGAGGTATAGTCTTTTTTTCTGGTTTTCTCTCCTCGAAAATGTCTTGGTATTCACTAATTAAAGAATTAAATTCCGCAGATGTTTTCAACACAGTTATTTTAGGCGTTGATTCATAAGAAATTTTTCCGCGAAATGTAACATTAGTTAGCTTATCAATTAACGACTTGGATTTTAGATCCACTAAAATGTCATAATGTGATAAAAAATCAGCTCCAAGAATGGGTCGTTATACATCAGCAATAGTAAACGTCCAGGGAAAGATGCGACGCAGTCCAATATCAAGATCCAATTTTCGTGTTCCGTAAACCGGAATTTGAGAACCATTAGCAGCAACGAGTTTCAAGATGGACGGAGTCTTATTGCGTTCATTCTGAGAAGGTGGCAAAACGGAAATATCAGCGCCAGTGTCTACTAATAATTTAGGAACTAATGTCCTATCAATGACTATAAGGCGACAATTTGAATGGCCGTTGGCGTTCGCCGCCAGCAACGCATGGCCGTCTAGTTTTCCTGCTTGAAACTGCATGATATACATTTGTTAGCTCTTTCACGAAAACGGTAATGGTACCAGCAAAGTCTATTTTTGCTAGTGGATCGATTACGGTATTTATTCATATTTTTACCAGGGCTTCGACCTCGGAAACGCAACACTTTATCAAGTATTTTTATTTAATTCACACACTTGAGCTTGAAGCGATTCGATAGTATTTGAATAATCGCAATCGTTTGGCCCTTTTTGTTTCGCTTCTGAACTAGCAGATAATATTTCATTTGAAAAAGTAACATCAGCAATCTTATCCGCCATTATAGCTAATTTATTAAGAGGATCTGATAAAGCACTTAAAATAGCTTGCATTTGAGTGGGAAGTCTTTGAAGCCATAATGATTTTAGCAATGCGTCGCCAACACGATCACCAGCCAAATCTTACATTTGTCGCAGCAATGCAGACGGTCGCCTATCACCTAATTTCGATATCTTGCAAGAGTTTTTTTAAAATACGTTCTTCAAAAATACTGAACATTTCAATTAATCTTTGCTTTAAAGAATCATACATGTTTGTAACTGGAGGTGAAGTGATAATGTCACTGACCTGCGATAAAATGCCCGTCTCGATTGAAGCAACGATCGTATGATATTTTGTGCTATCTTGAGTAATTCCCGCAGTAATAAACTGAGATTCCACCTGTGAAAACCATATTGCAGGATTTTCTTTCCAAAATTGGGGAACTTTAACAGCTACACGCGAAAGTTCTGGCATTGCTGGCTCCGTTTTAGAACTGTTTCCATTTTCGCCATCCATCACGTCCGTTGTCACCAGTTTAGCAGATATATAAGTCTATGTAATTAAAACTAATGCTTTAAGTAAATGAAATACGAACAGTAAAAACTTAACAACTTTAATATAACATTTAACAAGTAAATAACATTCGTGGAAATATTAGAACACAACTATAGACAAAGATCGCTGACGCTATCTCCAGTAGAACACTAAAGCTAAACTCGATCTCTTTGTTACAGAAAACTAAACTGAATCTTTTTGTTTAGTTGCCAGATCACAAAAGTTCAAAGTTAGTGCCGCCACACATTTAACCGCTTACATTATTCAAAAGAAGCTTTTCCTGTCTATTTGCTTGGAGTCCAGTTAATGCAACTCTGAATTTCTGGAAGCAATTTGTTCCAATCTCTGTGAGTGTTGGATTGTTAGCTTGACGAAATTATAGGTATTAAAAGGCAGTTTATTCGCTCTACTTCCCCATTTGCTGCTGGTCTTTGACTACAGTTTAAAGTATGTTTTGTTCCATGCTTCATGCAGTATTCTTTAAAATTAGAAGACGTAAAACAAGTTCCACGATCCGTTATTATCCTGTTGGGGCTGGCAAAATCATTAATAAAATTTTCAAGACACCTTAATAAGCATCTTGTTGAACAACTAAAACAGAGCCGAAGGAAAACAAATTTCGTTAAATTGTCTACGAAAAACAATAGTTCTGCGTTACGATTTACAGTAATATTGAAAGTTCCTATAAAATCTAAATGAATTATATCAAATGGTCGTTTGCCTGGTAGTATTGGATTCAGTTTATCATGAACTTTTCCTGCTGGTACTTTCGTAAAGGCACAACTAACACATTGCTATATATGCTGCTTTATATACTCTCTCATTCGAGGAAAATAGAATTGTTGCTTGATAAGGGAGACTACTTTATCAACCCCAAAATGGCCAGAGAGTTCAAGAAATCGAACAGCAAGATATTTTCTCATCAATGAGGAACCTGCATTCTTTTTTTTTATGTTTTAAAATGAAACATCATGCCATTTTATAAAGATAGACACCGATTTCAGACCGGTGCGATAACTAGTTATTTTGTTATTAATGGTTGAAATCGCTCAATTAGCCCCGCCCCCTAAATCGCTGCTAGGTTTACCATCTGCTCTGATGACGTCACGATACAGTACAACCACAACTCCCATCATGTGAAACGGTGAAAGCATATGCCGCTCCGAGTATAAATTTTAAAAATTGGCTCCAAGCAAAAACTACAAGTGTTGCAATGTACCATGTGCAATAGTTCTACATTAAACACGCAAAATAAATTATTTTTTAGTGTACCAAAGGAAGAAAAAAGACAAATTTGGTGCAAAGCCATCAAACGCGATGAAAAAAATACTCGCAAATTGTCTGCAACTACTGCATTATACTGTTGCTAAGACCATTTTACAGTAACTTACTTAATTATAATTTAATTCTATAAGATTGTTTCTCTGATTGATAAGCTTCTCTGAATGAATAATTCATTATACTGAATTTTAAAATGTTTTTGAAATGCTGTTCAGATCACTTTCTTTCTTTCTTTCTTTCTTTTTTCTTTCTTTCTTTTTTCTTTATTCTTTAAAATGAACGAATTTTATTCTGACAGAACAGTTGTGTACAGGTTCTTTTTTTTAAAGTTAAAAAATAATTTTATTTGGAAGAAAGAATTATCAAAGTTAAAATAAAAAAAGGAAAGGATTTTATATATAGACAAATATAAATAAAAATGAATCAGTAAAAAAATTAAAAATGAATTTATTTTTTTCTAAAGTTGTTGGAAAAAAAAGTAGTTTCGATTCGACATTTATTTTTTCATTCCTCAATTTTACTTCATTATACTGAAGGGTTTTGAGTTAAAAAATAATTAATTAATTTTATCTGGATGAAAAAATTATGAAAGTTAAAATAAAAAATGATACGGGTTTAGCTTTATTTATATTTCTTCAAAAGAAATTCCTTAAAATATTTTAGAAGTTAATAATAAAAGGAATTTTTTTAAAACAATTTACCTAAATTCCAGGTCATATACCATTCATTCCATTCCCTCTAATTGGGATCAACTCATTAAATAAAAACTTTCAAAACAGTAGTAGTAAGCGCAGGCATCTATGCGGCGGAAGTGATAGGCAGTCAAGGGTGCTTATTTCTGCCCCAACCGGAAG